GTGCATGATGGTGTGGCCGTGCTTCCTCGGTTTGAGGATCCGGGAGACGATGTAGAGGACGAGGCGGCCTTCGGGGTTGGCGGAGTGGATGGTTGGGCGTCCCGAGGCATGGCGTTTGAGCTCGGTGATGCCAAGCTCGTTGAGGATAAGGCCCTCGTTGTTGAGCACCCAATCCTCTCCACCATAGTGAGACACATCGTCGCCTTGGAAGGGGAGGCCGGCGATGCACCCAAGCTGCTCCACGGTGAGCTCGATCGGCGTGCTCTTGACGAGCAAGTAGAGCACGTCATCCTCACGCCGGAGGTTAGAGTAGAAGGCCCGGATCAGCGCCGGGTTGATCTCCTTGCGTGCCCGGGAGACGAACGACCAAAGGCCTGCTTGATGGAGCTGTGCGTCGAGGTCGTCGTAGCCCTGCAACTCCGGGTAGCGCTCCGGGATGATCCGTGCGGGAGCCACAACCCGTTTAGAGAAAAAGGTGAGGAATCGGGTGCGCTCCTCCTCGGAATCGAACCAAAGGTACGACCCATCGCCGTAGTAGAGGTGTTCCTCGGAGGTTGTGGACGGTGCCCGGGATTTAGACTTTGATTTCCCGGAGGTAGCAGCCCTACTCTTGTCTTTGCCCATGGTGATGAAGAAATCTCAAAAAAAAATGTTAGAGAGGATAAAATATGCAAGGAGATTGAAGAAGATTGAGTTTAGATGTGAGAAGAAGGTAAGTAGGAGGCGAAATATATATAGGATTAGGTTTCCAACGTTCAAAAATTCAAAAATCTGGCAGTTGGAGCATTTAATTCAGTGCCCAACGGGTATTTTTTTTTTTGAAAAATTTGACTTGAACAGCGATGTTCTGGAGGCGACATCGCTGTTGAGACAGCGCTGGTGGAATTCAGAACAGCGCTGTTGTGCGTCAAGTTTTAAAAAAAAGTGTCAATGGGACAGCGATGTTGGGTACCCTACAGCGATGTTCCAAAAGTTTCTGGAATTGTGTAAGGGTTTGAACCCATTAGAACAGCGCTGTTGGGTTATCCTACATCGCTGTTTTGCGATTGGGAAAAAAAATTTGTAAAAATGGACATCGATGTTGAAGGTAAGACATCGCTGTTTAAAAAGTTTCTGGTTTTGGTTGAA